ATCGACGCGAGTCCCTTTTTTGGAGGATTGACAAATGTTAAAAACAACTTTTTACAGTCAAATGTTCATGCAATATTGAATGTGTGCTGGTCCCACTAATGCCTAAGGTTGTCTCAATCTTGCGATAGGTCACATGACGGTCTTGCAATATTAGTTTGTGCACAGTATTAACGGTTTCCGGAACAACTACTGATTTTGGACGACCTCCACGAAATTCTTCTTCGAGTGAACTACGACCTCGTATGAACTCACTGTACCATCGATAAACACTGGCCCTGGATGGAGGTTCATCACCAGAAATTGAACTAAGTTCATCCATGCATTGCCGTTGAGTCAGTCCACGTCGAAAGTTGTAGAAAATAATCGGGCAAAAATGCTCATGATTCAACCCCATAACTTGGCCTAAATAAAATCTATAACTTAGTGTAAACGGTACAAATCGCGCTCAAATTTTGCAACGTAACCTCGAAATAGTCGAACTTTACGATAGTGGTGCCAGTTGCTAGATTGCTACACTAGTGCTGCCAAATCTCAAAATATAAAAGGCAGCCCTCGTATAGTTCTTCCATTGCAATGGCAGTTCTTCTCCAACATTGGAGTCGAGAATCACATCCTCACATTTGGGCGGAGAAGCCTCTATAGGTGGTTTGGAGCCTGACTGCACTTCAACAGCTACACGGGAGAGTGGGACCCTCACCTTCTGCAATAAGCGGAACTTGAAGCATTGCTGAAGAAACTCGCTAGAAACTTTGAAACTATCTCTGCCCATAGCACTGTTGTGAACATGTTTCGCGAGTCCCCCACGTATCTTGATATTGTTTTCGATGAAGATATCCTACTATATATAAATCGCAAAATGTGTCTGTTGGTTTGTCGGTGTGTTTGCATGTGTGTCGATGTGTGTGTCTGACCGGAAATGCAGAACTCCTGTCCCCTTGGACCTAGAGAGTTCAAATTTGGTAGGAATACGGGGGCCAGTATGAGAACACTTATGGTAAATGGCAGGACCGGACTCCGTGCACAGGGGGCGAGGCGTGCGCATTAGAAATTTTGGGCCGCAAATTAATAAGTCCTGTCCCCATAATCCCAAAGCGTTCAAACTTGGTTAGGAGCACAGGCGACAGGACGGGAACACTGACGATATGTGGTAGAGGTGATAACAATTGGAAGAATCTGATAAAGCACCTTAGAAGGCGACAGCCGCAGGATCTGCGACCTCCTTCGTATTAAGGGTAGAGCATTCGTACCTTAGATGTTCAGTGATAATGATTGATCACAACTTTTAGAGATAGTGAGTGATAGAAGACGGGAGTCATTAGGTCTACAACGTCTTTCATATTAACGGTGGTACAATTCAATAGGTGGTATAGGATACGAAGGGACGGAAGGCGGTCGGTGACAAGGACTGGCAACAAACGAGTAAGGGCTGACAAAGAACCTAGAAGGCTAGAGCGAATGGGTTCGTTATCCCTTTCATGTCAACAGTCATACCCTGGTATTTAAATAAACACTATTCATTCTTATTTTTCACTCAATATGACAGGAAGATGCAGTGATAGAAACCGATCAGAGGCAGTTCTCCATAACGAGATGGAATTTTGGTCTATTTTTTGCTGTTGGACTACGACCGCTCCCTATGATCTGGGATTCCCAATTAGCGAAAAATCCGTAGCGACGAAAAGTTCGTTGATAACCAAATCTGATAATGTGCGGCATTATCACCCGGCAACATTTGTGAGTAACATTAATCAAACATTAAACATCAAAGACTTTAATTGTTAGTCAGCTAAGCCATCATCGGGACATGCCTTTGAGATGAATTTGATGTCTTGATTTGACTTGAGATGGTGTCTCTTTTCTCCAAAAAAAAAACGTCTATGTGATATGCTACGACGACATAATCTATTTGAGCTCTGTTTCAGTTTCATACTCTTCCTCAGCCAAACAGCGGATATAGACTTCACAAAAGGATAGAATTCCTCCAGTTCCACATTTCTCGGGATAGTGTGTTTGACACAAGAAGGAGGAGAGCTCGGTGTTAGGCGGACGATCCGACTGGTCTTCTCATATACGGCTACATATGGTTGATATGGCATATGGCTGATGGTTTTTCTGTCTTTGCCTACCAACTTTTTCTTTTTCCATTCCTATTGAGATGTCCTCATTGGAATATACACTGGCAACTCGAGCTATTCATTCAATCACGTCCGGCTTTATCAGTGGGATGGTGCTCAACACTGTCTCGGCGAGAGGCTCCTATCAGAAGAACACCATCTTCCCCATTAAGGTGTATCCACATGACACCGAAGGAGGCTTTCCAGATTGTCCATAATTTCTTTCTACTCAAAGATTAATTGTTGTAACAGCGACAGTGGGTGCCGCGAAAACTTACTACGGTGGACATCGGAGGACACCCATGTGGCCGGAGAGCCACGCTTTCATGCACCGCATTCATGCATCGTTTTTTTTTTTGCTCAAACAGCGGTTATTCTTCATTCTACGTAAACACCTCCCTAGAAACATAGAAATCCTTCCTCTACGTATCTAATCGCGAAATTGAACGCGAAATTGAATCCTTGCATCCAGATCTGCCCTAAATTTGTTCGCGCCGTCGGCATGAGAAGTATCGATCGACTTGACGCAACAGGAGCACGTTATCGATTGGCACACGCGTGGCGCAAGCGTCGCGTAGCTAACACCGACACTGATGCGCTCAGCGATCATTTCTAGCGCGTCTTTAAAACACGTGTGGGAATTGCCTTATCATCAAATTGAAAACTTGTGAAATTTCCCAGTCTGCTTCGTATACGTATGCGAAGAGAGGAAAAAAAGCGAAAGGACCGAAATCTTTGAGTACTCGATTCTTGCTGTTAATCTTTGAATGCCCTTTGAAGTGCACCGACCGAGCTCAACCTGAAGTTCATGTATGAAAACAGTTGCCTCGCTCTTAATAGCCCCACGTTGGTTCAACTACACGCATACGTGAGAATTCCTAACAGACGCCGCGCGCGATGTCGCGGGCGATGGCGGCTGCCGGATGAAAGCGCGCTCACAGTGGCGGCTTGTCAAGCATTTTGCATTTAATCACTTTTGAAAATGATCATTCTTTTTTTAGGAGTCTAATTCAAGCTGTATTTATGTTGAAACCTCTAGCGTACATATCTACCCGAGCATTTTCCGGGAGATGTAGCAATATTTGGGGGAAACAACTTCGTATGGCATCTACTCATTTTGGTTATGAACAAGTCGATGAGGCCGAAAAAGAAAAACGAGGTATGGTGCGTACCTTATTTTCGATCAGTCAATTTTCGTTTTTCTCATCATTTGCCATAGTACGGTGTTCCGGTCAAATTTTAAAGTGAACCATTGTGCGGTTTTTGAAAAATAGGTCTGATTACAATCAGAATTTTCTTAATGGCAGTAACTTGGGCGAGTTTTCGTCGTTTGAGTCCCTTTACTGTTTCCTTCAATGAACAAATATCCTCGTTCCTTAGTCCTAGATAGATATCCATGTTTTAGTACATCATGTTTTTGCGAATGTCGCTAAGAAGTATGACCTGATGAATGACGCTATGAGTTTCGGAATCCATCGGCTTTGGAAAGACTACTACGTGGATGGTCTCCCTCTCACATTTAACTCGAAAG